TATGCAACAATCTTGTATGTTCTTCACATGTACCCCAAAACCTAAAATGCAATTTAAAAAAGGAAAAAAAAAAGGGAAATAGAAAAACTGATTTCAAAGAGCAACACATACACTCAAGTGGAATTTTCCATTGCAGCCCAAGCTGTGGCCTAGGGGCACACAGTGGGGCAGGGCCAGCTAGCACCCCTTCAGTTGATAAAAGTGGGCACCCACAAAGGCAATGAAGTGTAGCTACTGGGATAGGGGAGGGGAAAGGCTTCATCTGAGTTCTCCAGTTCCAAATGCCATGGAAGTCTAGAACGCTCTTTAGAAAAAAGAAGTGTAAAGTTTATTCTCTGTAGGTTTATTGCCGAGTTAAAAACGAGGAAACTGAGGCCAGCTCAAGAAAATTAGATGCCAATTTATTCAGCTCCCAGATGAGGTTCTGTGGTCCCAGGGAGATGGGCCAGGGAAGTCATACCTGACTCCGCTCAGGAGTGGGGTTTTATAGGGAGTGAAGGCGTTTGATTGGATTTGGAGAAACAGGATGTGGACGGGCTGAGCTGCTATTGGTAGGTAGGTGGATTTTCCGGTGAGCAGGCTAAGTGCTGAGTGCAGAGGGGATTTCCAAGGGTGGGGTTAGGTGCCGAGTGCAGAGGGGATTTCCAAGGCAGAGATAGATGATGGGCATATTCTGATAATGTAATTTTCAAGCAGGGAGGGAGATGGGCGTGTTCGAACTCCCAGCGAGGCAACCAGCCTTACGAGAAGTATCTGAGTAAGCAACATTCTCCCTGGCCCCCAATTTCTTCCTCTGCAAAAAGAGGACTGTAGTGTATGCTCCAGGTTGTTATAGTTAAATGAGATAGAGTGACAAGCAGCTGAGAAACTAGAAAGCATCTATAAAGATGCCTCTTTCTTGCCTGGAAGAGTCTCTGGCTGTATGTGATGGAGCCAAGACACGCATGAGGAATGAAGGGATAGAAGGGAGGGGCCATGAGGCATGTGTGGAGAACAAAGCCTGGGAGATTCAGCCACGCTGGAAAGGGTGGGGAGGAAGGGGAGGATAGAGTGTGGCAGGGTCTGGAAGGCAGCCCTGCTAGGAGACTGGGATCCCTTGTTCAGGCTGTTCTGGACTGGTCAGGCTGGGAGGTACATGAGATACTTCCAGAGTACTGATAAATGATCATTTGTTTACAAACTCTCCCACTGGTCAGCAGGAATGTTGGTGGCCTCTGCTCATTGGCCAAGAGGAAGGCTATCCTGAAATGCATGTCCCAGAAGTGCATGCTCGCACACACACACACACACAAACACACACACACACACACACACACACACACACACACACACACAGACACACACACACACACACACACACACACACACACACACACACACACACAGAACAGCTGCACCATATGCCATTGTGGCTTTAATTTGTATTTTCCAAATAGCTATTGATGTTGAATATCTTTCCACATGCTTATTTGCCATGTGTACATCCTCTTCTGTAAAATACATCTTCCTATCTTCTGTCCATTTTCTAAGTAGATTTTTTTAACTTTGGCTATTGCATTTTGAGAGTTATTTTTATATTTTAGATATTAGTCTTTTGTCAGATATGTGCTTTGCAAATATCTTCTCCCAGTCTATAGCTTGTCTTTTAATTGTCTTAAAAGGACCTTTCTCAGGGCAAAAGTTTTCAGTTTTGATGAAGTCCAATTTATTAATTTTTCCTTTCACAAATTATGCTTTTGGTATCATATCTAAGAGTTCCTTTCCTAATCCTAGATTCTGAGGATTTTCTTGTGTTTTTTTTTTTAAAAAGTTTATAGTTTTATGTTTTACAGTCAAGTCCGTTATCCATTTTTTTTTTTTTTTTTTTTTTTTCTATGTGTGAAACACTGAGGTTTGCATTTGCTATGGGTGTCCAGCTGCTCCAGCCCCATTTGTTGAACAGGAATCTTAAATATTTTTGAAAGCACTAATCAGTCATTTTAATACTAATATCTGATAACTCACTTGTGGTCACTTGAAGGTTTGTTTCTTTTGTCTGTTTTTTCTCTTGATCCTGTTTTTTGGGGGTACACCTGTTAATATGTGTTTGGATACTGGACATTACAAATCAAACATCATAGTGGCTATAGATAATATTTTCCTTCAGAAAGTGTTTACCCTATCCTCCATCAGTGAATGTGGAATAGTAGACGTCTTTATTTTTGTCAGGGGCTGAATGCTTTGAAACTTAGTTTCATGTTTTGGAGGGACTGGTTTGCCTCTTGTGTACACACCCGCTTTCAGAGTCTAGCTTTCCCAACCAATATCCTGGAGTATTTACCAAGGCCTATCTTCCTGTGTGGGTCAAAAACTCCAGTTTTTATTTCCCCAGCATCCAACTCTCTAATCAATTGCATTTCAGATACTTTCTGTTTGGTTTCTTTGTCTTTAGCCCAGTGCTGCATAAGGGTGTTTTGGAGGGTGGGGAAGAAATAGATGCAGTACGTTTGTTTGACTTTTCTGCACCTCCCTACTTTCAGGCCTCTGAATCCTTCACGTTCTATGTCTGCATACTCAGACTCTAAGTATTGTCTCCTCCGTCCCATGATGCTGCCGAAAGCTCTCCCAAACTTTGAGGTCCTCTTCAGCCGAGCTTCTGCAGCCTCCCCACTGCTGCTGTAGCTCACACATGCAGAGGACCACCTGCCGCAAGACACAGGGCTCACCCAGGGCACCCCTTCTCTCCAGGACCCGAATGCTTAGGGCCTGCCTCTTCTCATGCCTTAAAACAGCCTTTTTGTTTTGTTTTGTTCTTTGATGTAAATTATTTCCAGTTGCCTTTGCCTGTACTCTTAGTCTGTTGCAGGTTGCTCTGTCGTAGTTGAAAGAAGTTCTCCAGACTCTGTGTTTTAACCAAGGTTTGCCTGACTCTGAATTCCTTGATCTTTGTTCTAGCATAGCTCACTATACAGTTTTCATGAAAACACACTTATAAATAAGAAAACTCTTTGATAAAAGATTCATGCACAAAGACAAACACAGCTCATGCTTCACATACACTGCACCTAGGGTTTTCTATTTTTACTTCACACATCAGGAAACAGCCACTCTGGATACTTTTGAGGTAATGGTCTAGGTTCTAATTTAAAAACAAAAAGGAAACCACCATCACCACCTGGAGGGCCTGGCATCTTCTGTGTCCTGAATGACACAGGCCCCCAGGCATGCAGAAAGAACGACAGCCCCCTGTGGAAAGAACCACAGCCTATGCCACCTGCCTGGGGCTCTGACCCATTCCTGCAGAATGGCTGCGCCTCCATCCCCGCTGTATGGCGATGTCCTTGGAGTGCTTTAGACCTTACATCTGTGGACTCTAATAAAGCAGGAAGGATGGAAGGGGTGTCTTAGCAGACCTGCGTCTATTCACACCCACCCACCCACTTGGCATCTCTGTCTCAGGACTCCCAGCGTTCCATGCCTCCCTGCTTCCCCAGGAGTCTCTGTGGGTTCTTCTGCCTGGCTCCCTTGGGATCTTACCTCTCACCACATGCTCACTTGCGTCACCTGCTCCAGCCAAACCACAATCCCTGGAGATTCCTGAAACTCTCAAGGTCTCTCAGACCTCTGCTCCTTGGCAATGCCAATCAAAACAGCCCTCTCTTCCTTCCTGCCCTTCTCTGGGCTGTCACACAGGTATAAGACACCACCTCGGGGAAGCCTTCCTGGATTCCCGAGCTGGGTGAGAGGGAGGTGCCTGTGGCTGGGGACCCACCCTTGCCCTCGGCCATGGCAGTCTCTGCCTGACTGCCATTTATGCTCTGTTTATGTCTAGGCCTCTGGCAGTACTTGCCCCTCTTCCAGGAAGCAGTCCTTACCGCGGGGTGGTGCTGCTGAAGCAAATACCAGCAGGGCCTAAGGAGACACGCAGTCTCATTTTAAAAGTTGGGCTGGGAACGCTAGCAGGGCTTTAGTGGACTGAAGGAGAAAAAGGGAGTGAGGACTTTGGATTTTCATCCACGGCATGGCCAAATACTGAACAGTAAATATGAGCCAGGCCGGTTCCTGGGTCAGGGCACACCAGCCTGGCTAAAGCACAACACCCCCATCTCCTTGTGCTTGGATGGGGAAACTGAGATACAGAAGGGGGTGCGCAGGCCACCCCTGCCCTCGTCTCGGGTATTGGAATTAGGTGAGCCTGTATGAGACCATAAAGCCACCATTTTGGAGCTAGGACAGGATGATTCTGGAGAAGATGGGGAGGGTGAGGGGATGGGATCTTGCACTCAGGGTAATTCGGGGAGAGCTCTCATCTGAGCAGCCGGCAGGAGATAGACGGCACAGTCAACTAGGCTATGAGGAGGGGTTTTAATGAAGAGACTCTTCACAAAGGTGTGGGTGTAGGCAAACCACGAGGCGGCGAAGTCTCCTAGGCCTCAGAACTTCGGGGCCCAGGACCCAGGATGGAGGGTATTAGGGGAAGGGGTCAGTGGAACCAGAGATGAGTGAGCTTCTTGACAGCAGCTGCGGCTTCTGTTCACTTCTGGAAGACGGCGGACTACCCTGTTCCTGCTGAGGGAGAAGCAGCTGGGCGTCTCTACCCTGGCCTCCCTCTTCCCTGGCCTCCTCCCCGCCCCTCTAACCTCCTCCTGGGAGCCTCCCCTGGCCAAACCCAAAGCAGCTACATTAATGGCCTTTGTGGGTCAGGGCAGGGCAGCAGGGGTGGAGGCAGGGTGTGCAGGGGACAGGGACAGCTGGGGGGGAAGTGCACTCTGTAGTGAGGGCAGGAGGCCTGGAGCTTTGCAGTCTCTGTGTCCTGGGCCCCTAGCCCCACTCTGTCTGCACACGGGCGGGCTGATGTGTGGCCCTCCCGAGAGTCCTGGCCCTCCATCCCACTCTGCTCTGCATGCCAAACCCCAGGAGGTCAGCGCTGGGGTTCCAGGCCCTGCTACTCCCAGGGCACACTCTGCTTTTCCCTCCTGCGGAACCCTAGAATCAGGTCGGGGTCTCCTTTCTCAGTACCTTTACTCCCTTTTCCTTCCTGTGCCAGTAAAAGGAACATCTGGGCCAAGAAACACGGTGGAGTCAGTCAGGGAGGAGGTGTGTCTTCTCTGGGGATGCTGGGGCTAGGAGAGGTCACTCACCCACCTCCGGCTATGGCCAGGAGCAGAGCGCTGCTGACACTCACAGCCCACCCGGAGGGCCGCCGGTTCCTGGCTGGGGTGTGAAACGGGGAGCCAGGTGTTTGGAGGCCAAGCAGGGCTACCTCGGCTCACAGAGAGCGCTACCAGCCTTTCATTCTTTGATTCGTTCACCCATCATTTGTTTGCAAACACTGAGCACTGCTGTGTGCCCGGCACATATCTAGACAAGCAAACAATTGTGGTGTGGGGTTCAACGGAAATAGGACAGGACATGGGAGGGGAAGTGAGAGCGAGGATGGCTGAGAAGCCTTTGGGGTGGGAGGCGATCAGGGAAAGCGTCTTAGGAAACGGGAGTCTGAGCTGGACGTGGAAACACAAATAGGCTGGACAGGGTGGTGTTCACTGACCTGGGCAGAAGGCGGGATCATCGCAGGAGAGCAAGCGAGTCTTGCAGTCGGCACAGCTGGTGACCTTCACTGTGGACTGTATGTCTATGGGAGGCACAGGGGCTGGGGGTGCCAGGTGCCCTTCATCCCTCCCCCAGGCCCAGTCCCCAGGCGTACTCACCACAGGACTGCCGGGGAGGGTGAGAAGGTAGAGAAACTGAGGTGCTAAGGAGGCAGACAGAGCCAAGGAGGTCTGGGGTGCACGTAGGAGAGGGAGCTGGGAAGGTGTTCACGGGCAGGGGTGGGGCTCCGGGGAAGGGCTGAGGGGGCTGCAGAGTGAACTATGCCCTGGGTCTTGGGAGGGTCGGAGAGCTGGGCTGTGTGTAGGAACTGTCTCCACCCCTTACCCTTCTCCTTCAGCCCATCAGATATCTCATTCAGCCTCTCAGAAAAGAGATTCTTGTGCATGTGAATCTCTTCCAGAAGTACTGTTTTGTCTGGGTAGAGCAGGAGGGAAGGAGCGTTCGATGTTACAACTTGCTCAAGGTTGGGTTTTCACACCCTTGTTTCTAAAATGGAAGTTCCAAAGAGCACACAGAGACAGACTGCATTCATCCCCCACCTTCACAAGACCTCCGCCCATGGCCACGTGAGCCTCTGAGAATGCCTTGGAGGATGGGCCTTTGTCAACCCAAGCTCCAGGGCGCTGGGATTCTTGGCTTCCTCACCATCTCGTAACTGCTTAATGGCTTGGTGTACTTTAGCGAAGAATTTGGCTGTTTCTTCTTCCAAATGGTCACGACCTGAGGATGAGATACAGGTTGAAGGGAAGTCAAGGGAGTAAGATTTCAGGTCAGGCAAAGGGGCCAGATCCAATCCCTGATCTCCTGGCTATGCCTCACCAAGCTACCAGGGTTTGAGCAAATTATTATCCTCTAGAAATAGGGAGTGAATGCTTTGAGAAAGTTCTGTCGGTGGCCCCGGGCTACCCCAGAGAATCTGCAGGTCATAGTCTATCAAGGCAGACAGTTCTGGCCAGCAGCAGAGGCAGTTCTTCCCTTCGATGGCGGGCAGCATACAGATGATCAGGAGACGCAGCATCTTCTGGGGTCCTCCTACTGTGCCCCAGTGCCCTGCCTGGCAGTTCCAGGTAGAACACTGGTGTTCTGTCCCCCTGGTAACCACATTCTCTTGGCAGAACAAAGTGCATCCTGTAGGGCAAGGCAAGGGTCAGCTGTGGTGTCATGATGTGAACCTCAGCTTTGGCATCGGACCCAAGTGAGAACCTTGGTACATAGTTCCTCCTCTGAACTTGGAGTCACATGCTCAGCAGGGAAGGTCCTCGTGAGGATCAGAGGAAAGGCTGCACTGCCTGGTGGTGGGTGCTCAGCCATCTTGACTGTGTTCATTTGGTGTGGAACAGTTTAACAGGAGTGAAATTTGAGAGGCAGAAAAGAACAGCACAGCGAGAGGGTTAGATGAGTGAAAAGAATCAGAATCTCTTCACGCTTTTCCACAAAGAAGTGGCCAACCAAGGAGAAGGAAATGGAAAATACATGTTTTCATGGCCTGTATAAACTGGCAGTGGACTCGTGTTTGGTCAAGCCAGAGGGGCTCAGCAGCTAACACCGTGGTGCAGGCAGAGTATAGACAAGTTCCAGCCGGCGGTGCACGGAAGTGCAGAGAGAGAAGCCACCTTCAGGGCAGTGGTTCTTTTGCACAATGTGCCCTGAAAAAAAAGAAAACTCCCTACTCTTTTGTAATTAAAAAAAAAAGCCCGTGGGATTCCTGTCACTCATGAGCTGGCAATGCTTCCATGCCATGCTTCTGAGTGCCCTGGACTGGATCACGAGAAGCTAAGACCACCAGGCATTTAAGGAATGCTTCTAACATGACCAAGAGACAAAAACCATAGCAAGAATTCAAAACAAAGGCAAACAAAAACTGCAGGAAAAAGGAAGAGTACAGAGTTATGACAATAGAATAAAACTTAGAACCCAATTACAATTAAATTGACAACATATTGTTTTTCCCAGAAAAGAAGAAGCTGCTATGTAAAAGGAAGCGTTATCAGAGACTAAAGTTATCATAGTACAAATTTAAAAATTCCATAGAAGAATTTTGGGACATCATTTCAGAAATCTTCCAGACAGAAGTACAAAAACACAGAGATGGGAAACAGGAAATAAAAGGTAAGAAAATTAGATAATCAATCCATGAGATCCAACATCCAGCTAATACAAGTTCCAAAAAGAAAATTATTTATAATAGAAGTTGTGTAGGAAGTATATACAGGAAGAAATTCTATTCTGTATGGAGAGGGGTGTGGCATTGAAGTTTGCTAGAAGAAATAGTTGGGCTGGGCACATTGGCTCACATGTGTAATCCCAGAACTTTGGGAGGCTGAGGCAGGAGGATCACTTCAGGTCAGGATTTCAAGACCAGCCTGGCCAACATGGTGAAACCCCGTCTCTACTAAAAATACAAAAAACAGCTGGATGTGGTAGTGCGTGCCTATAATTCCAGCTATGTGGGAGGCTGAGGCAGAATAATCACTTGAACCTGGTGGGTAGAGGTTGCAGTGAGCTGGGATTGCACCACCGCACTCCAGCCCGGGCGACAGGGTGAGACTCTGTCTCAAAAAAAATAGTTGAATTAATAAATTCAGGCTGTGCTAGTCAGGTGGGCTGCGATGAGAGGGTGATTCCAGGCTCTGCAGAGATGTTGCTATATCCCCGGTTTTGTATGGAATCATGGGTGAGGTGAGGAATAAGCCTGTTTTTTTTTTTTTCTACTCAGTCAATACCTCTGTAAAGGTAAGGCCTAGAAGTGTCCCAAAACACAACTTCCATGTCCTCAGGATGCATCACCCTCTAGGCACATTGATGTTTATCACACCAGAAAGCTCATGCAAGATTTGGCATGCAGAATTTTTACTGGAGTTTCATTATGTATGTGTGATTGGCTGAATCACTGACCATGTGCCCTGTCTCTCCCGGGAGGTGGGGCTGATATTCCCTGGCTCAAAGCCCCAACCCTCTTATCACATGGCTAGTCTTTCCTAACCATACATTGCCACGTTAACAGAATGACTCAGGATAGCCGGCTCTCCTGGCTCCCCTGGCTGTCAGAGTCCAGGTGGCCCTCAGAGGCTGTCCCTCTGATACCATGAGCACAGCTCATATGTCTGGCCCGGGACATCTTTTCCTCTCTTTGTGGTGCTGGACCCACCTGCCACTCCCCACACGCCATGTTCCCAGCTTTTCCCCTGTTCGGTGAAATCGCTCCTATCCTGAGGCATTTTGTTAACGTGGTATGGATAGGTGGGATCTCATAAGCCCACCACCAGACCCTTCTATCACTCAGGAAATTTCTAAAGATTTAGAGGTCCTCTCCTAGGAACCAGGGACAAAGGCTAGCTGGATTCTTTGCCATACAATGATAGCACATAAATTCCTGATTACCCATTAACATTTGGGCATGAGTTCATCCAGATCTAGGCTTTGTAATGCTTCTGTGGTCTCCTGAAATCTTCTGGAAGGATCTCAAGTGCCAGACACAAGCTTTTGCTTTGCCCATGCTGAGTCGTGGAGATATTAGAATGGAGGCAATTAGAAATCCAGGGACAAGTGGAACACCACAAGGCCATCTATCTTAGCAAATTAACTCACTTGGTTGGTAAGATCATCTCACAGGTCATTGACCTGCAAATCCTGTCCAGTTATTATAGGAACCTTGTCGTAAAGAAGAACATTTGATACATCCAAGAGACTGGCATCTGTTGGTCCATGCCTTTATGAGGGGTTGGATTTAGTTGTTTGATTTTTTAATGGAAAAATTACAAAAAGTTCATCATCCGATAACCTATCATAAATGAAATATTCATTTCATTTCCTTTCTGGTTAAAACTTGTGTCTTGAAATTCTTTGTTGTATCTACTTAGAATGATCAATGGGGATGGCTGGGGGGAATCTCTCTTGCAGAATTTATTGGTAGAGAACATTAAAATTGCATGAAGCCAGTCATGTAATTTTAATGACCATCGAAAGGATTTTGACTAGAATTGGGGGGAATTTAAAGTGAGATGATGCTTCTGGGAAAGGTTGAAACCTTGGATGTTCAAGAAGACAAGTTTCTGGATCTATAGGGCAACTCCCCCATCTACCCCTGCTGCTGGGAAGGGGCATTCTCTCCCTTGTTAGCAGTCCTGGCCGGCGGATCTGCAAAGCAAAGAGCGCCTGGCTGTCTCCTTCTGGTCTTGGAGACTCATGTAGGCCTACTGCTGGCCGTGGCCTTGCACAGGACTCAGTGCAGCCCATCCACTGCTCCAGGGAGAAGTGGCTGAGGCCCTGAGGGTAACAGAGGAGGATTCACATTCAGGCTTTGTGCCTTCTAGACCAGTGCCTGCCACCCCACTCCTACTCCCCTTTCTCTTGAGTTCTTTCCATTTTCCTGCAACTGAGCTCAGCTCTGCATCTGTGAAGCCAATAATGACAGCAATGCATTATGAAGGGCATGCGGTGTGCCAGGTACAGGGCTCAGACCCCTCTGATACCACCGTCACTCATCACTGGAAAGCTGCCTGCTAGTAGGCCAGTGTGCGGGGCAGGGGGCTGGATCAGCTGCAAGGGAAGTCCTGCAGGGTCGCTGACTAGGCTTCAAAGGAGTCTCCTGGCGTCAGTAGAAAATACAAGGTCCCAGGCGATAGTGCTCGGATTTCTTCCTGTTGGGAGCTGCACAGCCATGTGGCTGGGACCGCGGGTGCACATCTGTGCCATATACTTATGGGTGAATGTGCCCATAGCTAACGGCGAGCCAGCATAGGTCACAAGAGCTGACTGCTATTGGCATTGCATCTGGGAAATAGTGGATTCCTCTGGGGCCAGAGCATATGGCAAAGTATTTAGCTTTGAAGGCTGTGACAGGTGGGGCTGCTGTGGGCCAGGCCCTAGTGGAGACTCCTCTGGTGCCCAAGGAGAGGTCTTATGATTGAAGACAATCCCACACTCACAGCTGCTGGGTGAGTTTCCCAGCCTCCCCAGGTGTCCGGCCTAGCATGTGGCCTTTCCCACATGGCTGTGAAATGCCATTTATTGTGTGTCTGCTGCCTGCCAAAGGCCATGCCAGGAGCTCCGCAGAAATGATGGACCGTAGAGCCTCCTGCCACCCCTGGGAGCTGATGCCGTCTCTCACAGGGCCTGCTAGGAATATAACAAGTGGACAGTAATGAATGGGACACGCACAGCACACGGTCTAACCGTGAGGAGATGCTCAGCAAGGGTCAGTTGTTGTTGTTAGGTTTAGGTTGTTGGCTCTGCAACCAGTCCGGGGAGAGTGCACTAGGGTCCTGCCCTCTCTTCCTTCCTGATGAGGGGCTGTGCTGTGCGATGCTGCTGCTTGCCAGGTCCCGCTCCTTGCCTTCCTGATCAGTTCCCTCCTCCCTGCTCTTCATTCTCCCTACCCTCGACTGTATTACGGGATTCAGCACAGCTGTGGGATGCTTTTTCCGATGGAAGGCTCCCTGCGAAGCGGTGAGGAAGGTGGTCGGTCCAGGCTCGGACGTCCGCTCTCAGCCCCACGGGTCTCCCTGTTTCCTCCCACTCCTCACCAGACTCTGCTCCTGGAACCTTCTCACCACATCTGAGCCGTGGCTGCTTTTTGGAAAAAAATCTGCCCTTCATCACTCACATCTCAGTATGTACAAGCATGTGTCCTTTCTGCTGGGGGCGTTTGACTTCTTTGCTGTGGCCGGGCCTTGCCCTGGAGCCTGCTGTATGCCAGGTGTTCTGCCCACTGAGTCACATTCAGCCTTTACAGTAAGTGTATCAGTCAGAGTAGGCAAGGTCAGGCCCTGGTAACAAACACCTGCAAATTTCAATGGCCTAAAACAACAAGGACTTCTTTGTCCTTTATGTTAGTTATCCGTATGTGTTGGCAGAGGTCTGTGGTCATCCAAGCCTCTCAAAGGCCTGGCAGATGGCATAGTTCCTCCTTTCGGTATTAGGGGCCACCCTGCCAGGGGGTGAGGTGAGTGTAGGAGAGTCTTGCATGGGTCTTTAAAGGCTCTGGCCAGGAAGTGGAAGATTTCCCCTTCACACACAGGTCA